ATATTGTTGTTACAGAGTGCATATTACGGCCGCGGAGGACAGAAATAACAAATCGGATGAACAATATATATGGGAGCTATAGCTTTATCTGAACCGATTTCGATCAAATTTGGCATAGTTATTTTTAGTCCTAATCTGGTTGTATGTGCAAAATTCTATACTATTCGGACTGATATTACACGTTTGGTGCACAATAAAAGGCAAATCGGACGAAGATATATATGGGAACTATATCTAAATTTTGACCGATTATCTCGGTTCGTCCTTGGGCCAAACAAATGATATGTGCAAAATTTCATCTCAATCGGATAATAAATGCGACCTGCATTTTGTTCACAAGAATACATGGACAGACGGACGGACAGACGGACTGACATGCATAAACCAACTCAGAAAGTGATTAAATAAAAGGCAAATCGGACGAAGATATATATGGGAACTATATCTAAATTTTGACCGATTATCTCGGTTCGTCCTTGGGCCAAACAAATGATATGTGCAAAATTTCATCTCAATCGGATAATAAATGCGACCTGCATTTTGTTCACAAGAATACATGGACAGACGGACGGACAGACGGACTGACATGCATAAACCAACTCAGAAAGTGATTCTATGGAGATCCTCAGAAGTAACTATGGGTCTATCTCGCTTCCTTCTTCATGTTACAAACAAATGCACAAAGACATAATACCCTTACCACTATGTGGTGTAGGGTATAAATATCTGATTTTAAAAGTGTTCCATTTTAAACTATAAATACCAGTAAGACCGCATGGATAATGCTGTAAAACTTTTCAAAAAAACCATAAAGTGGGTGCCAGCGTTATATGGGGGCCATACCAAACCGGAAAACTCTATAGACAATTACATACTTCAAGGATAGCCATCTACCAAATCTTCTAAAATGCCAAATTTGATACAACTTCAGTACAAATGACCTGAATTTTGACCCATCCGACCGAATTCATTAAATTTGGTTCAGATATAGTTATAGCTTCCATATATACTTGGTGCGATAAAAAACTGCAATAAATTCAAACGCCATAACTTTTACAATTTATTTTAAATTTTATTGAATGAAAACAAAAATATCGGAAATGGCATCAAACTTTAGAATAAGTTTAGATTTGTTCGAATTGGTCACCATTGACCCGAATTGTGGCCTTAAAACCGTTGCACGCTGCCCAAATGTTGCTCTGTGGTATTTTGGTCCAAATGTTTGCGTGCCCAAGGCTTCAATACACCCTTCAGAATATTTCCGCAATAATATTCGGCATTTATTCTGACGCCACGGTCGATTAATACGGCCGGAGATCGACCATCGGCTGTTATGGAGGCCCACACCATCACCATGGCCGGCGCTTGAGTTCTGGTGGCCAACCGAATGTGCATATTTTCAGGTGACTTCTTTGGCAAGTAAACACGATAATTTTGTTTGTTTACAAAATGCTGGACAACGAATGTTTTCTCATCGGAGAAAACCAAATTCGGCAGTTCACCACTTTCGGCCAAGCGAAGCAGCTCTTTAACTCGTTTGAGTCTATTATCTTTCAGTTGCGGTGTAAGTTCTTGCATTTTTAGGAATTTCAATGGCTTTACCCCGAGCTCCTTTTTCAATATTTGCCGAATGGAATATTGCGATATGTTCAGCTCACGAGCCATTTTTCGGCAACTACCATACGGGTTTTGATGAAGTCGCTTCTTTACTATTCGAACCATTTCTGCTGATGTTGACACAAAAGATTTATTCGCATTTAAATGCTGGAGTGCCTGTAGTTTTCCAGGAAAATATTAAGAAATCACACTATCACGATTAAATTCCATCACGAGTAACTTGGTTTCTGGAAACTTCTCACCAAAATGCTTTTGTACGCTTGTAAACAATATAATGAACTGCCACTGGAATATTTTTAATAGCTGTCGAAAGAGTGGCTTAGAAATGACAGCAGTCTGAAGTTGGTTGCAGTTTTTTCATTTCAACCTGTAATCTACCATATCTTCTTAAATACCAAATTTAAATCAATTTAAGTCCATGTCACCTGAATTTTGGCTCATACGACCGAAATCATTCTAGAAGCAAGTACATCAAATTTGGTTCAGATATATATATGTTGGATCCGAATTGGTGTTTAAGTCCCTCAAATTCGCAATATGCACCCCACAAAAATGACAATAGGTACCAGATAGTTTATAGAGTTCGGAAATACCTGCCAAATTTTTTAAAGATCGCTAGAATCGTCCTTACATATCTTTAGTACGACTTCAGGGTTGCTGGGTTGGGGTTTTGCTGGGTTGAATATTTATAGTCCAAGGGAAGGTACTATCTACAAAAGAGCGATATATTGCAACTGAAGTAAGTAGATGTAATCAAGCACATCATTACTAATTTGAATATGTGTACGAAATTCATTACCAAATATTTCACTTTTGTGATCAGATCCGTTTGCGATTTCACTTATTATTTCACACATTTAATAAACTATTTAAGCCAATTTGTTAAACAATAAACAATAAAGTAAGAGAAATGCCTGCTTATTGTTAAGTTCAATACAAATTGTTTTTATTGCTGGCCACTATTTACCCACTGCCGGTTTATGACGACAACAGTTAACAGGCAATCGAGTATTTTAGTGGTCAAGAAAAAAATCCAGACTTTTATGTACACTCATTTGTATAACATAAGGCCATCGGTTTGTTTTTTCTAAGTTCAATGTAAACTGAGAGAGAGACCTTCAACATGTATCCCTATGATAACAGACCTTTATAATGTGCCATTTAACAACAAAAGCAGTTATTCTCCAGATATAATAATTTTTTAAATTGATATGTTAATATTTACTCAAAATATAAAATGTGACAAGAAGCTCATTCACACAAAACCATAATATATAACAGTTGGCAACTCAACAATATACTTAGATTACTAAAGCATACTTTTGGGCAGTATGTATAATATTCGTATTGTTTTCGTTATACCAAAGGAATCAGAAGGTTGTATTTTCACGGAATTTCTTTCACATTAAATTATATATAAAAAAACAATTTAATATATAGGGTGACATAAAAAAGTGCAACAAACTTTAGACTGCTGCCATTTCTAAGCCACTCGTCCGAAAGCTGTTAAAATTATTCATTATTTTGTTAGCAAGCGTTCAAAAACATTTTGGTGATAATTTTCCAGAAAAAAAGTTATTTTTGATGGAAGTTAAGCGTGATAGTAGCTATCGTATCGTATCCAGAATTTGAATGTGAATAAATCTTTTTTTCTCGTACCATCGCTCGTTAGCGTGATACTGGTAGCGTGGCCCGACGTCAAGGAAGTGAACGGAAAAAACAGCAACATCAGCAGAAATGGTTCGAAAAGTAAAGAAGCGACTTGATCGAAACCCGCGTCGCAGTGGCAGAAAAATGGCATGTGACTTGAAAATATCGCAATATTCCTTTCGGCAAATATTAAAAATTGATTTCGGGGTAAAGCCATTGAAATTCCAAAAAGTGCAAGAACTTTACACCGCAGCATAAAGAAAATAGATTCAAAAGACCTACAGAGTTGCTTCGCTTGGCCGAAAGTGGTGAACTGCCGAATTTGGTTTTCTCCGATGAAAAAACATTCATTGTCCAGCAGTTTGTAAACAAACAAAATGATCGTGTTTACTTGCCAAAGAGGTCAGCTGAAAATGTGCACTTTCGGTTGTGCACTTTCGGTTGGCCGGCCATGGTGATGATGTGGGCCGTCATAACAGCCAATAATCGATCTCCGCTAGTATTAATCGACCGTGGTATCAGAATAAATGCCGAATATTATCGCGAGAATATTCTGGAGGGTATATTAAAGCCTTGAGCACGTAAACATTTTGATCGTAGACCTTGGACATTCCAACAGGACTCAGCACGGTCGCACTCAGCACGCGCCAACCAAGATTGGTTGCAAAATGAGGTACCTCGCTTCATTTCCAGCGCACAAGGACCACCAAAATCTCCGGATACTAATCCGTTGGGCTATATCGAATATAGAGAGGTACCGTTATAGGAGCCCCGTTAGAAGGGGGTCTGAATAGGCAATTTTCGTCATAAGCTGTTGTACGCCTTAGGTAATTCAAATACGAATCTTGACACAATTCTTTGCTATATTTTCACCGGAATTATACGTTGTTTTGATGATTTAAACGAAATTATTCACCGGAATTATTTCAGTATTTGCCAGAAAATTCATCATATCCCCCATAACGGTATCTCCCTATATTCGGTATTTTGACGATTTTAGCGATATTGTCCACAGAAATTGTTTGAAATTTCGTACTCCAAATTCGTAATGGGTAATACAGCCTGTGGCAGGTCCATGTCTACTTATTGCCCCAATATAACGGACCTTATCATATTCGGTTTTGCTCTAAAAAAGTTTTACCTTTTGTGGTAGAATTCTATGTAATGTGTAAACTTTCAAAACGCCGATACATGGGGGTTCTATTTTCAGCTCTATTTTGATAGTCGGCTGGATTTTTTCTGTAATTATTGAAAAGAAATGTAATTTTATCGCCTTTTACATGAGGGTATTCTATCTATAAAATACCTATGAATGTCTATGAAATGTCTGCAATGGATTTATTAGAGGTTTTCTATACAAATGGCCTGTTAATATTTCGCAATCTAAAAAATACCTCTTAAAATTCTTCTATCTGTATGAGATACTACTATGCAGAGAATACCAGTTATACCATGTAATATCTACAGACGAACTGTGAAAAAAACCATTATAACTCCAAAGAGCCCTTCTATATAGAGATCATCCCTTAGACATGCGAACGGTTTTCTATTTATATAAGATCAATATGCTTCCACAGGCCTTCTATCTATAAAAAAAACCCTGTTGAAGATATTCCATCTATCGAAGATTCGACAAAGGTCTTTTGCCTGTTATAGAACTATCCGCAAAATGGTTTTTCATTCATGTTAAAACTATTCTGCGTCAAGAAGTCCCGTTAAGGAAATTTTAAAAATTTTCCTATGATATTTTAAAAGTTACACGTTTTATATCCTTATATTTACAACAACATTTTCATAACAAATATTTAAACAATATACATCACATTTAAATCTATATACAATTTTGTAGTTTTGTTTTACCAATTTTTATATTTATATACAGCTAATAATATTTTTCCAATATTCCACATCGACTTAAACATAAATTATATTTTATTATTTTGATAATCAACTTGTGGCTGATGACTGGGCATTGTTTCCAAATCGCTAAAATTACTCTTATAGCTATGCCATTCGTTGTCGGTATCATCGGACGGCAGATAGTCGTCAGAATTCCATGACTGCGTTTCAGCTGTACCAAAAATGATGTACAACAAATTGCCCACAATGAAGATGCCGGCAGCAATGACGAACACAACTTGCCATTGGTATCGATTGTGCTACATAAAGGGAAGAGAGAAAAAATAGGAAAATTAAAGGATGTGACTCTCTTAAAGCTTAAAGAATAACAAGAAATCTATTCAAAACTGACTGAATTATGTTTTTTAGAAAAAAAATTTGTCTTCTAAAAGAAGTCATCCTAAAACAAGTAAAAAAGCTGTAAATTCGGCAGGGCTGAACATTGAATGCCCTTCGCCATTTGGTACAAATTTGGCAATTTTCAAAAAAAAAAAAAAAATCTGAAAAAATCTTAAAAATACCGAACGCAAAGCAAAGACAACTTTTGTCATAAGCTATTACAATATGCGAAACTTGAAAAAAATCTGTTTATGATGTACCTAAAATCATCAAAATACCGAATATCGTGGGGTACCGTTAAAAGGGGGATATACGAACACGTGAATCCATTACGAACTTCAAATACCAATTTTGAAACAATTCCTGTAAATAATGCCGCTAAAATCATCAAAATACCGCGTATCGTTAGGTACAGTTATAGGGGGGCTATACGAAGACGTGGACCTTCATGACCCATTTTCAATACCAAAAGTCCTGCAGACATAATACATATTTGAGAGTGATTTCCACAGACGGACAGACGGATACACGGACGAACGTTGCTAAATCGACATAGAATTTTATGCTGACCAAAAATACATACATATTGTGGGGTCTAAAATGCATATTTCGAGGTGTTACAAACAAAATGACAAACTTAACATACCCCCCATACTATGGTGGAGGGTATAAAAAAGACCACGAACTCTTCTTATCAGAGCTCAGATTTGCACATTTTCACTCGCGAGCGAAACTTGCTCCCAAGCAGGATTGCTCAAAGAGTTACAGTTTTTTACGGAGTCTACTCTTCACTATTTTGTTTTGTAAGGGAGCACTCCTGAGAAATTGAGGGAGAACAGAATCACTCAAAATAGATCAAGAGTTTGCTCTAAGAGTGAAAGTCAGTAGAATTTTTTCTTGGTGATTTGTGTAAGTTCTGCCAGGTCGAACTTTGAATACCCTCCACCATTTAGAACTAATTTGGAAATTTTCCAAAAAAAAAAAAAATAAATAAATAAATAAAATCCGTTAAAATTTCTGTTAAAATTTTAAAAATACCGAATATGGCCGTCATATTGAGTCTATACGAAGACATACGCCATCACATATTTAAATACGGAACTTGAAAAAAAAAATTCGGTGAATAATGTAGAGGTATTGATATATGGAACCTATACAAAAACGTTAGCCTGCATAGACAATTTTTTCTCATAGACTGTTGTTCCCTTTACGATTTCTAAATACGAAATTTGAAACAACTCCGGTGAATAATATCCCTTAAATCGTGAAAATATCATATATCCGGAGGGTGGGGGGACGTTGGTTGATACCGTTGTATGTTGCCCATACGATATCGTGGACCTATATAGACATTTCTCTTCCAGACGGTGAAATATACGATATCGTGGACCTATATCGAAAATACTCTTCCAGGGGGTAAAGTATTCAGAAGGAACTCCTTTTGGATTTTGGTTTTTCAGACAATTTCATTGAGGAATTTGACTACAATCATCAAAATACCGAATATGGGGGGTACCGTTATGTGCGGGCTATAAGATATGGTGGACGGATAGAGCTCATCTTCGAACTTGACCTGCCTACAGACAAGAGACTGATCTGTGCACAATTTTAGCTTCCTATCTTTATTCGTTTTGACTCTCTCATGATTACAATAGACGGACAGACAAACGGACGGACAGAGCTAAATGTGTATTTTTTTGTGGATGCCGAAATTTACACACACATACATACACAACTCTTTGTTCGGCAAGAGTAGATCACCTTAATTTCGAACCAATTTTGCTCCCACTTAAAAACGACGAAAACATGTCCACTCCTATTCGAATGACATCGAAAAAATGAGTTTGCTCAATATTTTTTTCTGCTCCCGGGAGCGCACTCGCTCGAAATTTGAGTAAGTTTCACTCTTTATGCAAAATCGAGTGAGTTTTTTAGAGGTCTGCTTCTTATACCATTTCCATACTTACCACATCCGTCACAATAAAGCCCACCGCAAGCGGGGACAACAAGGCCACTACACTGGCCACAGTATTGATGATGGAATACAACAATCCTGCATGGGTTGGTGACAAATCAATGACATTCAGTGAACTTCCAATTGTTTCGCCGCTATTTATTGCATTGCTGAGCGTTATCAAAAACAGAGCCATATTCTGATTATCTTCATCCAGAAATCCAATGGCAATAAGACCTAGGGCGGGTATCCAAAATGCAACGCTATTGAATATTTTACGCGACACTGTCAGCGATACAATTTTCCGTTCCTGCAGAACATCAGCCATGAACATAAACACATAGGACATTAACCAGCTGGCCATGAAGGGCAGAGCTGAGAAGAAAGCATTAGTTTTGATTTCTAAATTGAGCACTCCATGAAAATAGGATGGAATTTGAGATTCTAAAGTGGTCAGACCCCACATTTCCGCTGAGCGGGTTATCAGCAGGGCCATAAATGGCACCGAGGTAAATATTGCCTTCCATGGCACACTTATTGTACCCTCATTGAACGTATCCTCATGGGCATTCGATGAGGTTATATAGAATTTTTCACTTTCCGATATAAGGCTGGAGTCATTCGGATTATTGGCACCCAGCACCTGCCACAGCAGGAACCAAACGAAACATAATCCAGCAGAGATGTATGAAATTCCCGGCCATCCAATACAGCTTTCGGCAATAACACCGCTCAGACCCATGGCCAATACCATGCCGCAATCATAACCGCTTTGGCTGAAACCACCCAAACGGTTGCGTTCTTCTAAAGGTGACCATTTTGCCAGATGATCGAAAATGCAGGGCATAACCATACCCTGTGCCAATCCCAACAGAACTCGTATAACACACAACGACTGCCATCCTCCCCAGTTAAGGCACCAAGGTGTAATAACGCTCAGCAAACCGGAGAAGAATATTGCCAGACCCATAACAAGTTTGGCTCCAAAACGCCTGCACAAAACTCCACCCGGCAGTTGTGTCACAAAGAAACCCCAATAGAAACTGGAGAGGATGTAGGATATTTCTCTTTCATTCCATTTGAATTCCTGAATGCAAAGAATAATGAGATTTCATCAGGATATATGTTTTTCTACTCACCGGAAAATTTGGATTTGTGGTATTGGCATTAGTCATGGCTACCACGGCCACTCCAATATTGACACGACTAAAATATGTTGACACCATGGCTATAAAAAGCAGCAAAGCCTGAATATAACGCATCAACATAATGCTAGCAAAAATTGGAAAACAAAAATGACATTTAAATTTAAAATTATTAAATATTGGGATAACACGACCCAAAGCACTGTAGGATAGAAAGTGTACTAGAGGTGATTGTTTGATGCAAATATTTTCTTAATATACAATATTAATAGAAATTTATTTTCTTTGGTTTCTTATAGAAACATTTGATGAGGAATAACTTTGTCTTTATACCCTACAATACTATGTGTTGGGGGTATTATAAGCTTTATTGGGCCAAAAATTATGTAACACCACAATATATTGGTTTCCCACATAGGAAAGTATATATGGATCTCCCTATCTCGCCGAGCTGAGCTGAGTCGGTCTAGCTATGTGTGTCCGTCGTCCGTCTGTCCATGTTAATTTGTAATCACTCTACAGGTCGCAATTATGGTACGATCATCACGAAATTTGTAATGGAGGTGGGGCTAGGGTCAGAATAGAACCTTATTTCTTTTGGAAATGATTGGCGTTGAAATGGACTAAAAACTGAAAAAATTCCTGATTTTGCAGTTGCTCTACAGGTCACAATTATGGACCAATCAAAGTTAGCATGGGGCTAGAGCTTAGGGCTGGGAAGAAGCCTTCCAATTTTGATGGTCATCGGGTATAATTTAGTCGTTGAAATAGGCCACAACATATGTGTTAAATAAAAGTCAAATTTTTCATTAAACCGCGAATATTTTTAATCTCGGCGAAATCACATATAGACGAACAGGTCAATTCTGACGGTTACGTAGATGCCGATAGTAAATATATCGGTTATATATTGCGAAATATATACAATGTGTATATACGAAGGAAGGAGATGTTAGTTAAAATGCTTATATCTCAAGAATGGCTGGACCGATTTTGACAAATTTTGTCAATTCAGAATGACTTCTTGACATAAAAGCATAAAATCTAAAAATATACCAGAAAAATATGTCAATAATGATGTTAATTTAGATTTTGTAGTATTTTGTGAAATTTTTTTTTATATTTTCATATTTTTTATCGCATGCGATTTTTTAAATTTTATTTATAATATTTTGTAATATTTTTTCACCTCACAACACAGGTTGAGGATATTATATAAGTATTGCAAATATCGTCCGATCCTCACGAAAATTTTCACAAGGGTAGGGTTGGGCTCGGAAGGGCTAGGCCTATTGTTTTCAAAGATGTTCACAATATATTAGGGGTTAAAATGGACCAACAACTAAAAATTTTCCTAATTTTGCAGCCGTTATAAAGGTCACAAATATAAACCAAAGGACACGAAATCTCGCATAAAGCTAGAGTTTAGGACAGCGGGTACAATGGACCACTAATTTTGTGTGGAAAAATACGAGCATTACTTACAGGCGAACTTCTGGCTTTTTATGCTGATTTCGTTGACGAATATAGCCAAATATCGTAGACAAGCAAATCATATAGATGAGTCTAAATTTGGAGATTAAGAGGGGCTTCTTGCTTTTGGAGATAATTGCAAAATATTTTGGGGTTCAAATTAACCAAAAACAGAAATGTGTTTCCGATCACACAATTGGAGCCAATCGATACGCCTGTGAAGAGAGTTCAGGGAAGAATTCTAGCAGTTTGGATTAGCTGTAAGATGGACTACAACAACTAACAGCCCGACGGCGTGCAGAAATATTGGGCAAATGTCCCGAGTCAAAATCCTAGTTTCAAAAGCGAAATCTTCCAATATGGATTTGGATATAAAGGGAGCTTCTTGTAGGGTATAACATAGTCGGCCCCGCACGACTATAGCCTTTGCTTACTTGTTTTTAACATGCTTCTTAAACAAAGCTTTGTTGAAGTTTTTTGAAGCTTTGTTTTTTTGCAAAACTCACAAAAAGTACGTCTTCTAGGATATAACGTAGAATTTTATGACAAATCATTTTGTAGAATATTTTGACTTGCTATGATCGCGCTTTTTAACCTTATTTAAAACCAGAAAGAATAGGTCAAAAGCTGGTCGGGCCCGACTATATTATACCCTACAACACTATGCGTATTTAGTAGAGCTCTCGTAAGAAAAATGTTATATTGGGAATTTATGTAAAATAGTTCATACCAACTATAACCAAATAATATTGCTGTATAGTGCATGATATAACTTCGATAAGGATTGTATTAAAAATATTTATTGAGCAAAAGAATATACCTTTACATATATGAAAAAATCGGATGAAGATGTATATCGAAGCTATACAAAAATCTGAACCGATCTGGTAAAATTTGGCAGTGCATATTGCGCATGTGAGGGACTTAAATCCCAAATCGGATAAAACATATATATGGGAGCTATAGCTATATCTAAACCGACTTTCACCAAATTTTATATACAAGACTGAATTCGGTCGAATGTGCCAAAATTCAGGTCGAAATCGATTGAAGATATATATTTATCAAAATTTGAACCAATTCTCACCAATTCAAATGGGGTTCATTTTTGGGCCAAAATAATATGGTTTGAAAAATTTTATCTCAATCTCAATCATTTTATTAACAAAAACAAATGGACAGACGGACTGACATGCATAAATCGACTAAGAAAATTATTCTATTAAAATCCCCAAAATAAACTATGGGTCTATCTCGCTTCCTTCTCCATCTTACAAACAAATGCACAAAGACATAATACCCTTCCCACTATGTGGTGTAGAGTATAAAAAGGACCAAAAGAAAGTATAAAAGGACGAATAAAAGTGGTATAATTACTTGCTTGAGGGTTAAGATCTCTGTCCAAATTATTCCTCATGTTTTTATCTGCAATATTGCCGAAGGCACAATATACCTAAAATGTACGGTTTCTGGGGAATGTTAATCCGAAAAATCGTTTTGGTGTTATCAAATGATATATACACTGTGCAGTCATATGACTGAGGGTATAAAAGTATTTAAACTTTACACATCGAAATATTATAATAAGGTCAAATGCATTTCGGGTATCTTCAAATTGGATGTATTAGCCCATTCTCTTTGACTACGCCACATAAGCTGTACAATTTTTAATATAGCATAAATCTCACGTAAAAGGAATCCCCGATTATGGCTAAACTCCTCATTGCAATAATTTTATCACAATTAGATCAAGTGCGAAAATGGAAAATATCAGTCCATATTTTTTAGAACCTGAGGTTGAATGCACAACATTCATAAAACGTGAAATAATGTGATAATTACTTTCCTAACTGCGAACTTTGTAAATATCAATACAAAATTAAATAAAATGTTACTATAAAGTATGCAATTTTTAACAAAACCAAGTGTTGCGTTCTAGATAATTTTTAAATTTTTATTATGCACTTTAAAAACATTTAATTGTATTATTTATTCACCTTAACTACCTTCCTTCCGTATTTCTGTTCTTATTTAATTTATTACAGCACTTGTTTATCCCATAAAATTTTGCAAATTTTATTGACACTCGTGTTTCCAAAATAATAGACAGTACGAAACAAAGACAACAATTGAAGTTCTAAAATGCATCAGCATACAGATAATAAAAGAGAATGGACAATAACAGTTTCAAAAGCTTGTGAGAATTACAAAGAGCAATTGATGAGAATAACATATTGTATTAGAGGCATAATGAACACATATGGATGTCCGGATTATAATTTACAATAGGTGTGTTCCATAACCAGCAAAATATATTACTTTATTTTCATTCTTGCAATCTTTTGTTTGAATATTGTTCCCGTTCAAGAAAAATAGTAAAAATTGCAGAGAAAAAGGAAGGACCACAAAACTATGGTGTTCTCTTTAGATAAATTTGGGCAAGTTAAAGCTAGTAGAACGATTGCAGCTTCTGATTACCTGATACGTTGATTGTAAGTTTAACCTTTTAACTAGTCATCCATTCACATCACACAGAGCAAGTTTATTTTAGTACGGGAAGACAACAAATGTTTGAATTTTGTGACCCCATTTTACAGCACCAATATACATTTTACTAAATTAGATTTTCAAATATTAAATGTTTTACGAAAATATCCTTTCGCCTCTAGTAAAAAATTAAAACCCTTTAAAAAATAGTGTGGACTCCACCTAAAATCGTCGTATCAACTTAATATTCTAGCTTATAATTGAACGATTCCTTTTTACTAGAGACGAAGGGATATTCGGGGTAAAAAAATGCTGACACAAATTTTGAAATTTTGAAAATATGGGGAAAATGTTCGAGGCCCACCCTTGCGATATGTCTATAAATATAACAAGAAAAAGACATTAAGTTCGGCCGGGCCGAACTTCTAATACCCTCCAGCATTGGGTAAAGAAAACATTTTTATGCAAAAGTTCCTGGATACAAACGTGTTCCACTTTAAACTACAAATACCAATTTTTAGACAAATCCGTTGAAAAATGTGTGTAAAACCATCAAAACACTGAATATCGGCAGGTACCGCTATACGGGAGCTATACGAAAACGTGCACCTATATGTTCAATGTTCTTCCATCGGAGCAAGAACCCATTACGAACTACAAATACCTTTTTTAGACCAATCCTTTGAAAAATTTGACAAAAATCATTAAAATACCGAATATCGGGATGTACCCTTATATGGAGGCTCTACGAAAACGTGGACCTATGTATACATAATTTCGCCACCGGAGAACCTAGAATCTATAACGAACTACAAATACCAATTTTTAGACAAATCCGTGCAAAAATGTTGCTAAAACCATAAAAATACCGTGTGTCGGGAGGTATCGTTATATAGTGGTTATACTAAAGCGTGGACCTATATGTAAAATGTTCAGCCACTAGAGCTAGGACCCATATCGAACTACAAATACCAGTTTGTAGACAATTTGGTGGAAATATGTGGCTAAAACTATAAAAATGCCGAATATCGGAATGTACCGTTACATGTGGGCCATCCCAAAACGTGGACCGATATATCTCATTTTCAATACCAACCATCCTAGACATAAAGCAAACCATGGTTCCAAATTGTAAAGCTCTACATCAAATAATGTGGCTGTATCGTGATTTCAAGAGACAGACGGACATCGTTAAATCGACTTAGAATTTTATGTATATCATGAATACTTGTATATATACTTTGTGTGGTCTATAACAAATAGTTTGAGGTGTTAGAAACGGAATGAAAAATTTAGTAAAAATTTGGTTTCAGAGTCAAGGTTGGAATGTAAATTAAATATATGAGGGTAGTTTTGGATATATTTACTAAGTGTGTGAGCTGTGCCAAATGGTAGTTAATTTGAAGCAGATTAGTTAAGTGTGAGCCGGATGAAGTAGAAATTTTGTATTGGTGGTAGGTTTGGTGATAAAGGGGTGGTCTTGGAAATGTGTACTTCAAGTGCACGAAAAGTACTAAATAATACTATATTTGGTACAATTTGGTATTGAGTGAGCAGATAGTGTTTGAAATGTTAAATTTGGTATTAGGGTTGCTGTCCACGTGTGATCTGGACATATGGAGCTGTTTTCGACAATGTGCACTATAATTGTACGAAAAGTACTAATTGGTACAATATTTAATATTGGGTGAAGGGATCATGATAACATCCTGGAATTTAATGTTCAAATTAGTAATGGTATCTGTGTTGGAGATATGGCGGTGTCCTATATGGCGAAAAGTACAACTGGTACTACATTTGGTATTTGGAGATGGAATAAAGCTTAAAATCCTTAAATTTCATATAGATGTCACTTTTAGTGTCTGCGGTTAAGATATGGAGGTCGTTTTAGAAATGTGTATTTTTACTGTACGAAAAGTACCAAGTGCTACTAAATTGGGTAAAAGGATAGAGCCGGAATCCCGAAATTTAATATAGAGAACACTGCCAGTGTCTGTGGTAAAGATATGGAGATGGTTTTGGGATTATGTACCATAATATTTTAAAGGTACAAAATGATCCTAATTTGTATATTGGGTGAATGAATAGAGCTGCAATCCCAAAATTTGATGTAAAGGTCTCTGTTGGTATCTTGAATTGGATGTGGTTTTGGAAGTGTGTAGTATAATTGTACAAGAAGTACTAAATAGTACAAAAATTGGTATTGGACGAAGGGATAGGGCTAGAATCCTGAAATTTTGTATTGCTGTATCTTTTGATATCTGGAAAAGAGATATGGGTGTGTTTTTGGATTAAAATTGTATGAAAAGTGAAAAATTTGGAATTGAAACTCTAAAATTTGATGATGATGTCACTGTTGGTTTCTACCGCGTTCACATGGCAAAGTAGATATGGTTCTGGACAGAACAATGCGATATGGTTCGAAAGATTACAACAGATAGACAAACAGACACACATACGCACATCCCTTAATCGACCTAGTATTTACGCTGATCCAGAATATATATACATTTTAGGGTCTATCGTGAGTATTTCGAGGAGTTTCAAACGGAATGACATAGCTAATATACCCTACATAGAATGCAGGAGGATATAAAAAGGCATATCACGAACTTTTGGAACGAACCTAAAATTTAAAAGAGAACATTTCGCTGACGATGTAGCGCGTACTTGCTAATCCCCAATTAAAACACAAATGTATCTTCAGACTTTGCACATCCCAACCCCAAAATTAGATGGTGCGTAATAATGGAATATATTATACCACAAACAGCAAAAATTTAAAATTTATTTTTAAGGTGTCACGTTTTCCGATATAAACCTATTTAAAGGTATTATCTTATCTTATTCTTATCTCATATCAAAGGCTTTTGGGCCAAGTTTTTCTATATGCCATTTCTAGTCCTCTTTAAGCAAAAGAATTTTTATATCTTGAATGTCTTTATTAGGTATTCAATGGAAAAACATTTTTTTTTTTGGCATTCTCATATGCTTTTATATAAGTAAATAGAACATCTCGAATAGTTTCTTGATTAATTCAACTGAAAATCTTATATTGGCCCTTTAACGGTTGTTGAATAATAATCAAAAGGTCTTTCTATTAAAAATTGTTCTGTAAAAATATCTTGAAAATATATTTAAGGTACTCCGTAAATAGAAAACCTCCAATGGTGTAGAAACAATTCCATTAATTGAATTAGAAAGCCTTTCATAAATTGTAGAAATTCGGTGGCAAACATATTAACTTTTTTCAAGTTGCCCAAAATTCGTTTAAAATAACCAAAACTTAAAATTTTAAGTAATAAAATTATATTGATAATTAAAATAAACTTATATTATTTTTTTACAGACTTAAAATTACTATCTTTCGCATCAAAACTATTCACTTGTATTTCTAATATTTCAATGTTATTATCATATCCATGAATGTGACTTCGTTTGCCACATTTCTCTTGAAGATAGTCTTCTGCATTCCATGGCTGGGTTTCAGCTGTTCCAAGGAGAATATATAGCAAATTGCCAAAGAAAAATATGGCAGCAGCGATGATAAACACAATTTGCCACAAAGTGCGATTTGTCTGGAAGTAAAACCACAAATAAGTCCTCAATGGAATTTTCACTTATAAAATAGCCACAACTTACCACATCTGTGACAACTACACCCACAATCAGCGGCGATATAAACGGTGTAATATTGGATACCGCATTCACCAGGGACATCATGATACCAGCATGATTGGGCGCCAAATCAATCATATTTAGGGCACTTCCAATAATGTTACCACTGTTCAGCGCCACAATCAGGGTCATCAGAACAATGGCCCATATTTTTTGATGTTCATCTAAAAAGCCAATAATCACCAGACCCAATGCCGGCAACCAACTTCCCAAGCTATTGAAAAGTCTACGCAATGATGTTAAACTTATACTAGTCTTACTCTGCAATATATCCGCCAGTGAAAGATATACATAGCTCATCACCCACATGGCAATGAAGGGCAGCGAGGAATACAAACCATTCGCTTTTATGTCCATATTCAGGACACCACTGAGATATGAAGGTATTTGGGCATGAATTGTGGATAGACCCCAATTTTGGCATGATCTTGCCAATATCAGAACATAAAACGGTGTTGATGTTAAAACAGCTTTCCATGGAAATGGTATATTCTTTTTATGGTAACCCTCACTGTGAGCCATTTCGGCGGCAATAAAACTCCTCTCTTGCGACCCAATATACTTCGAGTCATTGGGATTATTTTCACCAAATATCAACCAAATAACACACCATGCAAAACATATACCTGCCGATACATAATATATACCAGGCCAACCCCATGGACCTTTGGCAATAATTCCACTCACGGCCATTGCCAATATGGTACCACAGTCAGAACCCGATAATGCAAATGCTCCCAAACGATTACGTTCCTTCAACGGCACCCACTTGGCTAAGTGTTCATAGACACAGGGAAAAATGACACCTTGAGCCAGACCTTGCACGATTCGAATGAAACATAAAATACGCCAACTTCCCCAGCCCACCGACCATGGTGTGGCAGCACTCAGTAATGCTGAAATACAAGTGGCAACACTCATTACCAACTTTGCTCCGAATTTCTTACAAAGATAGCCGCCGGGGAATTGTGTGCATACATAGCCCCAAAAGAAACTCGATATAATATAGGAGATTTCCTTCTCGCTCCATTCGAATTCCTATGAGAATAGAAGTACTTAATTATTTTTATAATAATATTTAGGTGATTTTTTTTTTACTTACAGGAAAATCTGGATTTGCTGTTGCTGAATTGGTCATCGCCACCACAGCTACACCGATGTTAAGGCGACTGCAATATATCGAGGTGACATTAAAGAAAAGCAGGAAACTCTGCACATGTCTCATGCCAAGGATGGAGCCTAAAAAAAGATTTAAAAGGATCAAGTACAATTTAGGAAGAAGTAAGAATATATCCTTAATGTATGTTCCTGATACAGCCATTGTATAAGAATACAGGTAGTCGCATTCAACTGCGTTAATAACGTTCAAGAATGCATATTACAACATCCTCCGATTGTCGTCGTATAAGAAAAAATAAGAAATCTACTTATTTTTTAAAAATAAAATTTTAAGTTAAAACAAGTAAATAATCCGTAAGTTCGGCCAGGCCGAACTTTGATTACCGTCCACCTTTTGGTACGAATTCAACAATTTTCAAAAAAAAAAAAAAAATTAAAATAAAATCCATTAAAAATTCTGTTAAAATCTTAAAAATACCGAATGTAGCCGTATATTAGGGTATATACGACGACATGGACCTGCATAGGCAACTTTTGTCACAAGCTATTATTACAATATTCAAATGCGAAACTTAAAAAAAATCTGTTTATAATGTAGCAAAAATCATCAAAATACCGAATACAGGGAGGTACCAAGGGGGGTTATAAAACGTGGACCTGCACAGACAATTTTCTGCCATAGGCTTCAGTATCCATTACGAACTTCAAATACCAAATTTAAAATAATTCTGGTAAGTAATGTCGCAAAAATCATCAAAATTTCGAATATCGGGGTTCCGTTATATGGGGTCTATACGAAGAGGTGGACCTACGTGGCCCCTTTTCTGTTTTATGCTGTAGTATAGGGTATATTAAATTTGTGTAACATGGCGTAGAGTTTCAAAATTTGTCGAATAATTTGTATTGTGCCTATGATGGTTGGTATTGAACATGAGATATATCAGTTCATTAGCCGCCATATAACGGTACCTCCCGATATTCGGTGTTTTGTTGATTTTTGCCACATTTCTAAATGAATTTGTCTGAAAAGGGTATTTGTATTTCGTAATGGGCTCTAGCTCCGGTGGGGGAGCATAGTAGATATACAGGGTGAGATGAAAAACTGCAACCAAATTCAGACTGCTGTCATTTCTAAGCCACTCGTCCGACAACTGTTAAAATTTTACCAATGACAGCTCATTGCATTATTCGCAGGCGTATAAAAGCCTGAGAATTTTCCAGAAAAAAAGTTAAAGTGTTGCTTCGCTTGGCCGAATGGTGATGGTGTGGGCTGTCAAAACAGCCGATGGTCGCTCTCCGCTCGTATTAATCGACCGTTGCATCAGAATAAATATGGCGAAAATATTCTGGAGGGTATATTAAAGCCTTGGGCACTCAAAGATTTTGGCCGCAGACCTTGGACATTCCAACAGGACTCGGCACCATTACACCCAGCACGCGCCTCCCTCGCGGTTCCTCGAGCATTTGCAAAATCAGGAAATTTTTCCGTTTTTAGTCCATTTCAACCCCTAAATATTATACGATCATCTCCAAAAGTAATAGGGTTCTATTCAGACCTTAACCCCACCTACATTCTAAATTTCGTGAAGATCGGGCAATAATTGCCACCTGTAGAGTGATTACAAATTAACATGGACAGACGGACGGACGGACATACATAGCTAGATCGACTCAGCTCGGCGAGATATAAAGATCCATATATACTTTCCTATGTGGGAAACCAATATTTCGAGGTGTTACATAATTTTTGTGGCCCAATCAAACTTATAATACCCCCAACACATAGTGTTGTAGGGTATAAATACCAACATTTCCATTCCACTTTAACGCTGAAAATAACTTATATGCGATATCCAAAATACTCAAAAAGGCGAACTGATTTCGTTGACGAATATAACCAAATATCGTAGACAAGCAAATCATATAGATGAGTCTAAATTTTCGAGAAACTGAGACGCCTCTTGCTTTTGGAGAGGATCGCAAAATATTTAAGGGTTCAAATGAACCAAAACCAAAAAAATCCTAATCACAAAATTGAAGCCAATCGACACGCCTAAGGAGAGAGTTAAGGACAGGGAAAAATAATATCTGGGCAGTGCTCCGTGACATAATTTCAAAAGCGAAATCTTCCAAAAGGATTTGGACATAAAGGGGCTTCTAACATATTGTAGTGTTGTAGGGTATCACATGGTCGGCCTCGCCCAACTATAGTTATTTCTTGTTTCACTTGTTTTATCTTCGATTCGATTTAAAAAAAAAAATATTTCGATGAGCAGTTGCTAAATGGAGGATATACAAATATATACAACGTTCGACATATAGCAAATGTGTCCCTAACGCAGAGAGTCTAACTAGTTATAATACTCTACTCTGACCACACGTGCGTTGTTTTCACAAAACTTCCATTACACATTGTAATACAATATATACCTTAAACACTGGGTCAGTTACCAGATCAAATAAATTTTGATATATTAATGCCAAATTAACCACTGACGCACTTAAATCCGGTTTGTTTGCGGTAGGAGTTGATGAAAATTTTATATTATAATTATTTTCAGTTAATTACAAATATTTACGTTATTTATAAAACTGTTTAACTTGTAAATTTTTAGGCTTGTCTTATAGTGGATAGAATAAAGGCTCCGTTAGATACGAATATATAAATCATAAGTTTTGCTTGCAGAGAATCGAATTAATTTTATTGAAACTTTTTGCATTTTAGACGTTTAAGATATATTTTATACGAGCACAACGACAATTTGAATTCTTATACTGCAATTCCAATAACAGATATGAATATGTATTTTTTTTTTTGTTATTTTAATCACATTTTATCACACTTTGCCACTTTCGATTAATACATTTATTGGCATTTTGACCATTATAAATTTAATATTGTCATTTATATAATATTTATATAAGAAATTATTGTTATTTCACGAGCTATTTGTACCTTTCTTAATTTTAACTGGCGTCGCTTCAATAGATTTTTTATTTATTGTCATCGTTGGTTAAAAAATGCTGAAACGCCACTTTAAAACACGTCTGTATCAGTACTACGTTGATTTAGATGTGATCTGGTCGGATAAATGTAAAAATGTTAATACTTGATATATAGTATACATATTTTGATTGGTAAACAATTTTGTAACACTGTACAACAAAATTTTAACGCTAACTAGGATTATGTGTAACGAATACGTCATTTTCATTAAAGCATTGCTACTTTGGATGCAAGAAAATAAAACATTTTCGAAATATGACTTATTTAGTAGCCAATAGTTGTCATTGAGCCTCTCTTAGTCTTTTGGTGAAGTAGAAATTCCTTTCATCATAAGGACCAAAAAGGAATAATTGCTATAGTCTAGTGGTTTTTGTCATTATACCCTCAACCTTGAAAAGGAGGATATATTAACTTTGTCATATATTCGTCGTAGAACCCATAAATTTTGTATATTCATAATCGGCATAAAATTCTATGTCGATTTAAAGATGTCCGTCTCTTTGTCCGTCTATCCGTTTGTCTGTCTGTCCGTCTGTCTGGCTGTTGAAATCACGATACGTTATTTGACGTAGAGCGTCCAAATTTAAGAAAACGATTTGTATTGTTTCTAGGACGGTTGGTATTGAAAATGAGATATATCGGCCCACGTTCTGGTATAGCCCCGATATAACGGTACCTCCCGATATTCGGTATTTTGATGATTTTTGCCACATTTGTTCACGGATTTGTCTGAAAATCGGTAGTTGTAGATTATAATGGGTCCCAGTTCGTGTGGCGAGTCATTGTAATTATAGGTCCACGTTTTGGTATAGCCCCCATATAACGGTACCTCCCTATATTCGGTATTTTGATGATTTTTGCAACATTTTTTCATGGATTTGTCTGAAAATTGGTAGTTGTAGGTCATAACGGGTCCTAGTTCGTATGGCGAAGTATTGTATGTATAGGTCCACGTTTTGGTATAGCCCCCATATAACGGTACCTCCCGATATTCGGTATTTTGATGGTTTTTGCAACATATTTTCACGAATTTGTCTAAAAATTGGAATTTGTTGGTCATAATGGGTTCTAGCTCCGGCGAAACATTGTATGTATAGGTTCACGTTATAAAATATAATTTTTCTAAAAATTGATAATTGTTGGTCCTAATGGGTTGTCGAAATTTTGTATATGTTTCGAGATAGACCCATAGTTACTTTTGAGGATCTCCATAGAATCACATTTTGAGTTGATTTATGCATGTCAGTCCGTCTGTCCATGTATTCTTGTGAACAAAATGCAGGTCGCATTTATTATCCGATTGAGATGGAATTTTCCAAACAACATTTGTTTGGCCCAAGGACAAACGCTATTGAAATTAGAGATAAACGGTAAAAAATTAGATATAGCTCCCATATATATCTTCTTACGATTTGCCTTTTATTGTACACCAAACGTGTAATATCAGCCCGAATAGTATGGAATTTTTTACATACAACCAAATTAGGCCTCAAAATAATCGAAATCGGTTCAGATATAGCTATAGCTTCCGTATATATATTGTTCATCCGATTTGTTATTTTTGTCCTCCGCAGCCGTAGTATGCACTCTGTAACAACAATAGTTGGGGAAATATATCAAACTCAGCTCAGAAATACCTTTGCTAAATTTTATCGAGATCGATATTTAGATTTAGATATTGCTCCCATACCTAACTTCGTCCGACTTACCTTTTATTGTGCACCAAACGTCTAATATTTGTCGAATTGGGATGGAATTTGGCACATACGTCCGAATTGAGTCTAGAATCTAGTATGTCAAATTTGGTGAAGATCGGCTCAGATATAGCTATAGCTCCCATATATATATTGTTCATCCGATTTGTTATATTTATTACCCACAGACGTAATATGCACTCCGTAACAACGATATTAAGGGATATATATCAAATACAGCTCAGAAATATCTTTGACAAATTTTATCGAGACGGGTCAGCTTATGATATGCATAGCTCCCATATATATCTTTATCTAATTTCAAATTAATTTTGCACCAAATGGGCAATACAAGTCCGAATTTAAAAAACACAAATAATTCGGCATATTTTGTCTTTTGAACTTTCAACTGCAATTATAATCATAGAGTGTATGATTGATTTCTCCCATAAAAAACTTTTAATTGTTATGTGTAGCTCTACTAAATTAGCAAAGTGGTGTAGGGTACCATAAAGTCGGCCCCGCCCGACTCTAGGACTTTCTTTACTCGTTTTTACTTGTTTTAAGTTAAACAGAATTATCCAAACGGTCTTGCTGGTATTTTTAGTTAAAAGTGGAACACATTTGAATTTAGATACTTTTATATAAAAATGTTTTCTTTATCCATAGGTGGAGGGTATTAAAAGTTCAGCCTAACCGAACTTAATGTTTTTTTAATTGTTTTTTTTTTATACCCTACAACACTATGTGTTGGGGGTATTATAAGTTTGATTGGGCCAAAAATTATGTAACACCACGAAATATTGGTTTCCCACATAGGAAAGTATATATGGATCATCCTAGCTCGCCGAGCTGAGTCGATCTAGCTATGTATGTCCGTCCGTCCGTCTGTCCATGTTAATTTGTAATCACTCTACAGGTCGCAATTATGGTCCGATCTTCACGAAATTTGGAATGGAGGTCGGGGTTGGGCCAGAATAGAACCCTATTTCTTTTTGAGATGATCGCATAATATTTAGGGGTTGAAATGGACCAAAAACTGAAAAAATTCCTGATTTTGCAGTAGCTATACAGGTCGCAATTATAGACCAATCGACGCGGATTTTCGCATGTAGCTAGAGTTTAGGACGGGGAAGAAGCCTACCAATTTGGGTGGTCATCGGATAATATTTAGCGGGTAAAATAGACCATGTATTTTGTGATGAAAAAATTCAACAATTTTCATTAAACCGCGAATATTTTAAATCCCGGCGAAATCACAAAGCCATGACAATGTTACTTCTGACCTTTACATTGATGTTAACATCCAACAAATCGGATATATAGCAAAATACGTTCGATATATATGTCTATCAAAGAAGATATGCTTGAAAGATCCCTTATATGTCGAGAACGACTGAACTGATTTCGACAGTTCTCATTAATTCAGAATGGCCTCTTGGCAGGAAAGAAAAAACGTCTAAAAAAATCGCATAAAAATATCTCTCTAAAGATGAAAATATTGATTTTGTAAAATTTTCTCATATTTTTTCAATTTTGTCATATTTTTGGCATATTTTCATTTTGAATTAAACATTTGGTAATATTTCTACAGCTAACAAAACTAAGTAGTTATGACATCAGAATATCATATACAGATCGCATTTATGGCCCTATCCTTACGAAATTTTGCATGGGGATAAGATGAGGGCCAGAATAGAAGCCTACTCTTTTTGGAGATGATCGCCATATATTTAGGGGTTGAAATGGACCAAAAAACTGCAAAATTGTCGGCAGGTCGTAATTATCGCCCGATCCTCACGCACATTTGAATGGGGGTTACCGGACATTGCAAAAGCCAAGCAGTTTTGGATGGCCATCCAAAAATATTCAATGTGCGAAATAGTTTGCCAACTTTTGTAGACAAAATACGAAAATGTCCATTCCAGAGACTTTTTCGAGAATTCGCAAATACAGGAAAGACGCACTTCTGACAATTTCGTTAACGAATATAGTCAAATGTCTGTATCTCATATAGATGCGTTTCAGTCAAAAACGAATAATAAATGTTAATCTTTTGCCACTTCTGAGAGATTATAGGTCTTTGGGAAATATTGGTTCCAGATCTAGGAAGACCATTTAAGTGCAACATCTACCAATAAATTGGAAATGAGCAAATTAGTTTAAGTTGCTATTATTTGAACATTAAAGAACGAAAACTGATGGTTTTCTTTTATTATTTGTCAGAATATATTGTGGAATTCTTTCGAGTATCTCGCCTATATAAACTGTATCGTTTATTATAGTGTTGTAGGGTATTCAACGGTCGGCCCCGCTCGACTGTAGCCTTTGCTTACTTGTTTTTTTATAAATATAAACCAGTCCAATTTTTGGCACACATCTTCTCACTTTTATTATATTTAATATAATTTTTAATTAAACAGGATTGACATCTGATCATAAAATTGAATAATGTAATGATATATTATAATGTGTATGTGCCTTCAAGGGCGTTCCATCGATCCATTTTTCTGTACTTTTGGACTCAGATAAACCAGTAAAGAAAGGGCAAAATCGGACAGGACCGACTTTACACATCAGTACATATTTAGTAGAGGTACCAGTAACAAAATAACGTTGAAGTAGATCATACAAGCTATGAACCCTTTTTTAATGCATATTAAAGCTTTGGAGAAGTTATAATTTGGAATCAAAGGAAAATAATATATATGGGATGTATATCCAAATCTGAATCGATTTACTACCAAATAACATCGCTATAGAGTAGTGAAAAATACAGGCTGAGATAAAACCAGTTAAAAAGCAGTAAGTTCAGCCGGGCCGAACTATGAATATTCTCCACCATTTGGAATGAATTTAGAAATTTTAAAAAAATAAAATCCTTAAAAAGTTCTGTTAAAATTTTAAAAATACCAAATAAAGCCGTTATATTGGGGTCTATACGACGTGGACCGACAAATGCATTGTTTGTCATAAGCCATTACCATATTCAAATTCGAAACTTGAAATAAACGGTGAATAATGTAGATAAAATCATCAAAATATCGTATATAGGGAGGTACCGTTATATCGGAGCTGTGCGAAAACCTGGACCTGCATAGACAATTTTCTGACACATGCTGTAGTATCCATTACGAACTTTAAATACCACATCTGAAATTATTTCGGTGGGTATTGTTCCTAAAATCGTCAAAATACCAAATATTGGGAGGTACCGTTATATGGGGGCTATATGAAGACGTGGACCTGCAATGACAACTTTCTGTCTTAGGGTGTAGTATCCATTTCGATCTTCAAATACCCAATTTGAAACAATTCCGGTGAATAATGTCGCTAAAATCATCAAAATACCGAATATCGGGAGGTACCGTTATATGGGGGCTATATGAAAACGTGAACCTA